CGGTGCGTGCTGCGCGCTGTCGGGCGGCGCGTGCTGCTGTGCGGCTCTGCCGGGTGGTGCCTGCTGCTGTGCGGCCTGCTGTGCGTGCTGCTACCCATGACTGTGCCGCAGTGCGCTGCCGGTTGGTGAGTCCATAACATCCTCAAGCTGGCACTCGTCCTCAAGGCCAAGGTGTGGAAAGTGTTGCATTAGCTCGGTGCAGGGCTCCCATGTGGCTTCTTCATTTGGTAACCCTTCCTAGCAAACTAATGCCTCTTTAATAAAGGCTTGACCTTGTTTAACCCATCTATATTTCAAGATGTCCTTGGGTCGTAGCTGTAGTCACCCTTCTTCTGTGAATTCTGGTAATGTTGCACATGTGGTTTGTGGATTGACAGCTTTCTTGAGGACGGAGACATGGAAAATTGGGTGTACTTTGGAGTCTATTGGCAGTTCCAGCTTGTAAGCTAATGGTCCTATGCACTGTAGAATTTTGAATGGTCCTTAGAACCTAGGGGAAAGCTTGTTGTAGGGGTGGGAGGCCATTGAGGTCTGTCTATATGGTTTGAGTTGTAGGTCGACAAACTCGCCTTCCTGGAACTCAACAAGCCTGTGTTTTGCATCATAATAGTGCTTCATCGGTTCATGAGCATGTGTCAAGTGAGCCATCAGTTCACAAATGATTTCATCTCGGGATGAAAGACACTCATCAACCGCTGCATTAGCTGAAGTCCCCTTTTCATAGGGTAGAACTAATGGTGGGTCTCTACCATATAATGCTTTAAATGGTGTCATACCTGCTGAGACATGGAATGAGGAGTTGTACCAAAACTCTGCCCAAGGCAGCCATTGTATCCATTGTTTAGGTCTGTCCCCCACAAAGCATCGTAAATATGTCTTGATGCATCTGTTGACAACTTCGGTCTGCCCATTCGTCTGAGGATGATAGCTTGTAGAGGTGTTGTGTGAAGTGCCTTGTAACTTGAAATATTCTCTCCAAAAACTATTGAGGAAGGCTGGGTCTCTATCACAGACGGTTGCCTTTGGTGTCCCATGTAATCTGGTGATTTCTCTAACAAATGCTTCTGCCACCGTAGCCACTGTGTAAGGGTGTGTTAGAGGTATAAAGTGGCTGTACTTCGGTAGCCGGTCAACCACCACAAGTAGAACTGATTTGCCTTTTGAAATAGATAGGCCCACGGTAAAATCCATTGAGATTTCATCCCATACTTGATTTGGGATGCTGAAGGGCTGTAGGAGGCTGGCTGGTTGTTGGGCTTCATACTTTTGCCTTTGGCAGACATCGCAAGAGGTGATGTAACTCCTTATTGTTTTCATCATGCTGCTCCAATAATAATGTACTGCTAGACACTTGTAGGTTTTGAATATGCCTCAATGACCCTTTATAGCAGAATCATGAAAGAGTCGTAGTAATTCTGCTATGTGGGCTGACTTGGATGAGATAACCGATCGACCCTTGTAATAGAGTGTTGAGTCACGAACTGAATAACCTGGGGTCAAGGCTGGATTTGAGGCCCATTTGGCCCTTAATTGGGCCTATTCTGTATCTTGAAAGGCTTCAGCTTTGAGCTGCTCGAGTAATGGATAACTAGGCCTGGAGACAGTGAGCTTTGACAATTCAGGTAGCCTGGATAGAGCATCAGCTACTCGATTAGTTGTACCAGGTTTATATTCTATAATGTAGTCATAGCCCATGAGTTTGTGGGCCCACTGCTGCTGTTTAGGTGTGTGGAATTTCTGATCAAGCAGGAATTTCAGACTCTTGTGGTCTGTCTTGATGACAAATCGACAGCCCAGTAGGTAAGCCCACCACTTCTGGACTGCAAGTACAACGGCCATGAGCTCCTCATATGTTGATTTAG